TTCATATAGTTTAACATCGGCGGGTCAGACTTTCCGGGGGAACTGGTAACTAGCAGTTTGGGAATATGAGAAAACACGATCTTGATTCTAGGGAAAATGTTCGAGCTTGTCTGGCAACAACTGCGAAGGAGGAGCGGCAGAGATCATGATCGGGTTTCAGAGGAAAACAGGTGACCTCCTGGCCCCGTGCTGAATAGCCTTTACCGACACCAGACACTGTGAAGGCCAGGTATTATCCCAGAATGTAATATCAAAGACATTGTGAACAAGACTGTAAATCCCTATCGTGGGATTTCCCCCCTTTTATCACCTCGGTTAAATTCACCCCTATATTGTTACCTAGTATGAGACCAGTGGGTCACAATGTAGACAGAATAACGTCACAGTGTGCCATAAAGTGTGGTTAAAAAGGGTGCAGGGGAGGAATAAAGAATAGAAGCTGGCATATAGGGAGATCCTGTAGTCCAGCAGTAAAGAAGGAAGACTCAAGATGGAAATATACTCCCCAGTACAGCTCTAACATCGCAGAAATTCTTCCTAGCTCCCACAGAACAAAGCTCAAACCATTATAAGTAAGCTGAGCAAAATGCTTTGACTCAGGGTCTTTTTGAAGTGCTGTAACAAAAAAAAAGGGACTTATATATCTGCCACTGCTCCCACCGCTTTGGGTGATTTTTACACAAATTCTGGGTGTTTTTTTCCCATAGATTTGTGTGTTTGCAGTAGAGTGTTTGCTTTGGACGGCTCCTTGCTGGATGGGATTGTGTAGTGAGTCAACATCAGTGTTATCCTGACAACAACCAACAGGAGTTTAAGTTCGACAGGAAAAGATGTGAGAAAGAACCAGAGAAAGGTCTCTAATCGACAACTTTGATAGGCAACAACTACAACCTAGCCTCAGTTTTCATCTCATGATTTGCACAATTCATTGAAAATTAGTGCAATCGCAGCTTAGGTTAAAAGATAAGTCCAAAACAAAATCTACCAGAGGAAAAATGTCACTTCAATCTGCACAGTGTTTTTAACTGTTCCCCATGTGGATAAATAGTTTTGAATGACAAACTTGGGTAGCGTGTGATCCCTGATCTGAATGCTCAGTTTGTCCTGTTGTTGTGTGTGTACAGTTTCCCAGAGGGCACAGCTGAGGATTTACTTAAATCCTGTCATTTAGTATGCACTGCTTTTACTGGGCATGATTTGAACAGTCTGACCACAGCTTTAGCCTGATTTCAGGAGGGAAGCCAAACAGAAGGATATATGTATTGACACACATGCACAGGAATCCAAATATCCACATGCAGGGCACAGTTTGTGGAGGAGGGGGACTGGGAAGAAAAAGGGAAGAAAGGTTAAAGAGAAATAAAACAAAGAGACAGAAGAAAGAGGGCAAACAAGAAGAGGAAGGGAGAAACCAGGAAACTTAACTGAATAGATATGGAAGACATAGAGAATAAGATGGAAGCTGACAGAAAGAAAAACTGAGGTGAAGAATATGACAGAACAACAGAAAACAAACACAAAAAGGGTGATTTTCCACATCAGTATCCTCTCCTTTCACAATGCTGTGTCCACTTGGGCAGCTGACAAGGGGTTGAGGAGAAATGGGCGGGGGGAGTTGTTGTCAAGGCAAACAAACAAATTGGTCGTTTTTAACACATCCTGATCCCTTTCCCTTTACGACTGGTGAGCATGTAGCAGACAGAAGTCTCTGCCGCTTTACCTGAGCGCCTCAGATGACCGTGAAAGCATGAATTTGACGTTAAAAGTATCCATATCTCTATTTTTTTCCCCTCTCCATTTTCCTTGCTTTCTCTCTAAATGTTGCAATGCACACATAGACTTTGTGTAAGCACTGCAGAAGACAGGGATGAATCATGTGCTTATTAGAGAGCTGTATATTCATAAGACTGTAAGAGGTAGGCTCTCTGGGGTGACTGCTAATGCATGTGACTCACAAGCATCTGTAACAGCTCAGCTTTTTTACATTGTGAAGCACTTCCACAACACACAAACTACAGGGCATTGTTTTGACCACATGCAGGGTTTTGGTGGCTAATTGGTATGTCGTTTTGAGAAATGCCTTATCATTTCCAACAAATTGGGTCGTTCTCTCTCTTTACAATCCCCACTTGCAGATGTATAATTTGGAGGGGCGCAAAGATTGAGACTGTATGCAAATGTATTGACATTTGAACAATTAAAGAGGAGGTCTTGATTTGTGTGGGTGTTAACTGCAGCTCCGGGGGCCTTAATACGGAAGTTATTCAGAATATAATTCTGCGACAAGGGATAAATAAAAGGTTTTCGAGGCCCACCTGTGTCCCATTGAGGCAGTGAATAAAGTCTGTTTGTGCATACTTGTGGTAAAAAATAGCTTTCCGGATGCTTACTCGGTGGTTTGAGGCCACATATTGGAGCTTGGCATGAATAAACGGTCCATAGAAATTGGTGCATAATGAGTTTTCTCTGGGAATACCTCATTTAAATCAATTTAATCATCCCTCTTTAAAGATGCGACAAAGGAATATGTCTTTTTTATAAGCTCCTATATGCAAGAAGGAAAAACAGGCATCCAGCCATGGTTAAATGAGTGGATTATGGGGCTGTTGGTGAAAGCCAAGAGAAGGACTTACTGACCCATTTAATGTCCACTTCCAGTGGAGCTGCTTGTTGGATATGACCCCATCCACTCGCCCATAATCCTACAAGAGATGATCTTGCTTCGACACGAGCAGCATGATTGAACTTGACAAGAACCCAACTGTCTGCCGCAGAGGGTCTCAACATCACTTTGATATGAGCGCTTTCCATGACGGAGCAAATCATTTGACAGAGTTGTTTGTGCACTTGAAATATGGGGGAAAATGAAGTAGGATATGCATGAAAATGCTTACAGTTTCAATCTCACCCCACGCAAATTACACAGATGACTCATCCTCTGCGCATGCTTTGACATTCGCTTGCGAAGAAAATTCTGCGTTTAACTGAAAAACATGCAGATCTTTCTTTTACTTTTAGAGGGAAAAACATGAAACAATTAACACCACTCTGGCATCTACGTTAACAATTACCCATGCTCTTTTGTGCTCAAATGACACTTTTTGGATGTGCTACGCTTTCACATGTGCTTGTGATGTTTGCAACAAAGAAATTGAAATGTTCAAAACAAGTTCCTTTGACTTTTAACACGACAAAAGCATCCTGATAGCTTGTTTCAGAGCCTAGCGAAGCAGGCACTAAAACGAGCATCAAAATATCACAGAGAGGGGCATCCAGTGACAGCCAGAAAAAAAGTGCCATCATTTATGTGTCATCATCAGCCATGTGGGAGGACAACTTTATTGACATCTTGATGATCATCCTGGACCATTCTCCCCTGCACCCATCGACTGCAGCTCAACATACATTAGTCAGCAGCAGGACCAGGTCTCACGTCTCATTTTTCAGGAAGAAAGAACAGAGTCCTCGTTGACATAAAAATAAAGATGTGTGAATACAAAAGCCCCGAGGAGTGAATACAGTATGCCAGGTAGTTTATATTTCTGAACCTAATCTGCAAGAAGGGAAGCGGGCTCCTTTGGGTGCTGCTTTGGACGGCTGTGTAAATAAACACTGGGTATATTTCCAACACATGTATGCACACAGTACACAAATATCCATAAGGTAGTCTTATTTGAAGGTGGATGCAGCCTAACAGATTTCTCCTACATTAATAAAGGTCCATTCAATAAATGAACAAATTAATGAACTATGCAGGCTGTCCATAAACAGCTTTGAAATAACCAAGCTTTGAATCAAGCTCGAAATAAAGGCTGTTGTGCAGACTATTGATTGACTGCTGGATAACATTTTTACTAAATAGAAACAGATAATGGCATGTAAAGATATGTCCTGTTTCTTCTTTCCAGATAGGATTGAAGGTGTGATTTTGGTCATTTTAATAGAAGCTGTCTGCAAATGAAAAGGCTTTACTCAAATACAGTTGAATATTTCACATTCCTCAAAGGTTCTAAATTACTTGTCATTTTTAAAGTCATAATTTGGTTTTCCACTCTTCGTTACAGTTAATTCTTTGAAACCTGAACATGCTAGATTGATGCAGTTCTACTCGTTGAACCCAATTTAGCAGCCCGAGACCATATCCTACCATTGCAAAAGTGGTCAAGCAAACACATTAATAAATATTGAGCTCTGGGATAATCTGTGAAAAAAGTTGCTTGACCCCTATGGCTCATCATTGGTAGCGTTGAGCATTATGTGGAATTAGGACTCTGGGTGTGGAGGGGATTAGGATAATTACTGTTATTATATTCTCAGTGAAAGGACTATCGTATGCCTAGGCTAGCCTCCTCTCAGCTCTTGACAGCTAAATTAAAACCATATGCTGATGATGTGACCCTGGATGATTGATCCTTTTTTCTTTTGTCTACTTACTCCTTCTTTTAGAGGCAGAGGCTTGAATCCTTAGAATCCACCATCTGAGACTTACTTATCATTGTAATAGCAGATTTGGAGTTCCAGCATCACTTGGGGAATGGTCTAACCTTGCCCTTGGCCAGACTTTGCACCTGTCCTGGCATGTTTGTTTTCAGAATTGATAATATACCTTCCTCTCCCTGTCTTACTCTCTCTTAAAAAAGGGTTATGCTTGCAGAGGTCCCTTGGGCTTTAGCACCAAGGACTCAGGGAACGCCCGGATGGTAAACCTCCCCAAATCCCTGAGATACTGATCCCTTATGATATGGTAACTGGCTTCGAGGTGTTGTTTACCACACAGCCCCACTCACTTCAACCCCCCGAGATGCTTTCCTATACTCCAAAGCTTCCGTAACATATCTAGCACATATTAGATTCTAAATTAAAAATCAGTCAGCTGTGACACTTGATACATAGATGGGGAATACCAAAGAAATATCAAGGCGCACTTGACAGCAACTATTTCAGAAAAGCAATTTAACATTATTGTCTGCAAATGAAGAATTGCAGGACTGGGCTCTTACCATGTGCTGGATCAGGAGGGCCAAACTCCAGATTGTATCTCAGGATGTAAAAATTATTCCACACATAGAGCTGGTTATCTCGCGGATTGTAATCCACAGCTGCAATGTACTGGTACTGGTTTGGAAAGTGGATATCAACGTATTCCCCACGGTTCTGTTTGGTGTTGTAAATGTAATCGATCAGGCTCTTGCTGACCTCACTTTCATTGTCTTCATAGGTGGAGCGAACCACATAGAGTACTCCACAAACCATGAAGGCATTGGAGGCTGAGCGCTTATCGTAGGCTGTGTCCCATGTAGCATCAAAACGTAGCGTGTAGGGGTTCAACTGGCTGATCACCATCATGCCATTGTTCTGCTCCGTAGCGTAGATCACCCACAGCCCATTCTCATCTACTGCAAGGTCAATGTCTGTTTTCCCACCCCACTTGTAGGGCGATGTGTCGTGGTAGTTGGCGTTATTGATGATGGCCTCCCCGCTTTTGATTCGAGTCCGCAGATCAAACTTCACAATGTTGCGGGTCCTCTCCTTGTTGAAAAATACGGCGCCATCGTAGACCACAAATCCAGTCCCATCCACTCGGTGGGGCAGCTTATAGGTGATGGTTTGCCGTGCATTTTGGAAGTCGTCCAGGGAGGAATACTCAATGAGAGTGTCTGTCCTATAAGGAGTCCAAGGCATAAAGTAGATTTTGTCGCCAGCCTGCAGTGGGTCTTTGCACCAGGCACCGGCTTGTTGCTCCGCTTCAAATAGAAAGGAAGGATCGCCAACAGCTTTCAGAGTCCCAGGGCAAAGAAAAACTAGTATTGGGAGAAAAGTAGAATGAGAAACAGGCAATGGTTAACATGTGAAAAATAAAACCATACAAAAATATATGTTACTTCCATATATTATCTTTAAAGTCTTCATTTTGTTTAACTGGTTGTCCATGAGGAGTGGGAACAAACACACATTAAGGAGTGGCCAAAACACAACTAACATCTATAGCCAATAATCACAAGCAGTATAAGGATTTTGGTTTTGTGCATAGAAAGAAAAAAAGGAATAGGAAAGTTATTAAGCATTATGTTTAAGTATAAAAAAAATAGTCTGAAACAAAAAGAAGCTTGGCCTCAGACATTTACTGTTTGGAGTAGAACACAAATGAGGGGAAGTAGAACAGAAACAAAACTGAACAAAACAATTGGTCCTGTAAACAAAAAAAGCAGCCAACTAAAGTCACTTGGCAACAGACGGGAGAGGTTATGAGAGAGCAGGAATGAGCAGAGTCTGCAAAACGTCTGTGTGTACTTAGATGTCTCACAGTTACACCACCATTTCTACGCTATATACCTGAGAGGCTTGTCATTACGAAGTGGTGCAAATGTCACAACCATTAAGATTTAAAATATTCACTACGGGTCTCTTGAGGTGTTTTGGTTGTTGCTCTGGGGCATTGAAGGCATAAGTATCAACAGAGAAAAGAGTAGCAAGTGGTCAGGTGAGAAAAATGGGGAGAAAAGTGAGAAAGAGGGGGCTTGGAGAGAAAAGAGCAATAGATTGACAAAAAGGGCCAAGAAACATTCTAACCATGGCATGCTATGGAAAAGGGGTTGAAAGCCAGGCAATATGAGAAACTACTGAGTTGCAAAAACACCTAGAGGGAATAAGGAGAGGAAGCCCATATGGACCGCAGCCAGTACTCCCCCCCATTTACATCTTTTGGCTAGTTGTTAGCGGTCTCTTTTTTTTAAGGCCAGCCTCAATTTACTTGTTGCTCAACATTTGACATTAACGTTATAGTTGGGGGATTTTGAGGAAAACGTCTGTGATGGGTTTGGCGGGGCCACCATGTGAAAAAAAGTTTGTTTACAACCAGATGCCACAAAACAAGGAGCTAGGGTTTGGATCGTGTCTGTTATTTACCTTTTTGCTCCACTTCTATTTTAAGCGTTGGAAGAGAGAATGAAAGGGGAAGGGGAAGGGGGAAAAAAAGTTAATATGAATTAAATGTCATCGCTACGTTTACATATGCAGAAACACGTTACGAGACATGGACAACGACGGGCAGACCTATTCAGAAAAAGCAGGAAAGTTGTGAGAACAGTAGCACACAGCTGCCAAGGTCCTGTCTTTGAAAAGGGGTTTGATTAGAATATGAGAGAAAAGTCGGACCACATTTGTGATTATTACTAATTAAGCACATGGTTTCCAGCATAGTGGTGGATGGATTTATGTTTGTTGGACAAAATACAGCCTGTCAGTATGTGCGATCACTTACTGGCTTTCAAATCAAAATCTTCCATTCACAAAAATAGATCTTTGATATCAGTTTGATAGATAGGCGAGCAAGTCTGGGATTTTTTAATAAAAGTGAAAGACATGTAAAGAAATGATCTCCCAATAAATCTTTTTGGGATACTCACATTCATTTAGAAATTTAGCAAATGGTAATTTATCGCATAATTTTTTTTTTTGTTCATTATAATTTCACTGATCTACATGTTGGTTTTGTTGAAAGGCCAAACCAAGTTCCTTGGAATCATGCTCTGTTTTAATCCACCCACCACCATTAACCATAAAAAGGTCTATTAAAAAGAAAATGTCTTCATTTTAGTTTTCTTAAATAAAAAATTGGGCAGTATAATCAGTATAGAATACAGTATATGCAGTTACTTTGAGATGGCAATTAATGTGCCATATAAGTGTTCTGGACAATATTATAGTGTACTAATACCTACACACAAGACTGCCTAACAACAAATATGAAACTATTAGTACACAGAATATGAAGCAGTATTATTCCAGCTACAACCATATTGGTAAAGCATTTTGAATTAAAGTAAGTCACTGGAGCTTTACATAGCCAGTGTGCAATCACTGCTCAATCATGCATTGAATTCCATAGTTGAACACTGCTTTCCAATAAGTTCTTTATAAATTAGGCATCATGTCTCAAAGAAGGCACTCTGAATGAAACTGTGCTAAGGAGTATTACCCACTTCATTATTCTTAGATGTCTATGACTGATTAATAAAACATAGTAAACAACTTAAAAGAGTAAAAGAGAAGCAGCCTGCTTTTCGACAAGCCTGATTTTTTTTCTGGGAAATAATTTAAGGTTAGTTAAAAACATTTTTCATGTTAAACATTTCTGGTGGTTGTCTAAAGCCCAGGTCAGACAACAATATACTGTTCAAGTCATGTGTTTCCCTAATTTGTTCAGCAAAATAACTTTTGTTGTTCAATGAGTAATTCAATGAAAAGTGAAGGAATAACAGTAAAGAACTATTTAGTCATTCTCTTACTGCTATGTTGACAGAAAAGCTCAGGAACAATATAAATATGTTCAGCCTCCTCTTATTATGCTGCTGAAGTCACTGATTACATTCAACAGAAAAACAACGAGGTACTCCAATTTCATTATAATGAAACTTCTTTGAGTTATTTTAACATTCTTACTAATGTGGACTTTTTTATAATTGAATTGGAGATGTATTTTCTTTGCGATTGTTTACTGGAGGAAATACTTTACTGCTCAAACCTTTACTGTGTTTGATCACCCACAGAAGGCCTGAAAAGATCAATGTTGGAGTACTGGTTGTACACACTGGGTGTAATAGCACAGTGGAATAATGTGCACAATAATAAATTAGGTTCTGTTGGAAATTGTGACCCTCCAGCTTTAAGCAGTGCAAGTCTATATTAGTATTAGAATCTGTTGTAGATCTGAGTCTGACCTAAGCTTTAGTGGTAACTAAAACTTCAAAAAGACTCATAAATGATGCCAGTCTGCAGGAGAAATTGAAGTGTGCTGCAGCTAACTAAGAGATCAAACAAGAATAGGGAGCAAACAAATGATCAACAGTTGAGTTCTCAGAGGCTGCCTCAGCAGCATAAAACAAAGGAGGCAAGGACAGAGAGGACAGACAGAAATGAGGTGAAGGAAGCCTGGAAAGAAAAGGAGAACACATGACTGAAGACTCGATGACGTTAGTAGAAACGTAAAAATAGAAATAGCAATCAGTGTGATCAGAAATCGGTCATTGGATGAAGAGAGTGAGTCAGATAGCCAAGGAGATTTCCTGCAGATTGCACAGGGGGAAGGGAAGAGAGTCAGTCACTTATAATATTTCAACATTTAAAACAAATATGAGACACATCCCCACCCACACTTAACCCACAGAGCTTTCACTTTTTCCACTAGACAGCGCAGACTTTCGAGGGAATTCCTTCTTTCAATTAAATACAGCTAAAAATGTATAATTAAGATTAATCATTACTTATTATAGTTTAATGTTAACATAGATTGATGTCAGCTGACGACTGCAAGCTCACACAGTGGCTTCAGTATTTAATCTACATAAAAGCATTGTGTCAAGTACATTTTATAAAAGGGGGACAAACTGCACAAAGCAAAAACACAGAAGAGGAAAAAAAAATCATGCTGTGACAGCTTAACTTCAAATTTTCATAATCTGACCATCACTGTCACATGGAGCCGGGGGGTGGGGGGTGGGGGGGTTACTGGCACTATAATGCAATGAAAATGAAAATATTAGCATTGAGGACTGTTTATACCCACTGGCACGACTACAGTTTCGCAAGGGTAGAAGGGAAATTGATTTTTTTTAACTTCATCATTACCAAAATAGCTTGCGCAGAGAAGTCTTATTAAAAAAAAGACTTGGCTTTTTATTTGGCCTGATTCAAGCAATTACTAGTGCCAATTCAGAGGGCATCTTGGTGCCAGGTGAAGGCAGAATTTATATCCTTGGCTGGAACATGAAGATAATGCGGCTAATGAGGGCAGTTTATGACAAGAACCAAATTATGAAGCCAAAAGGATGAAAATGGTGGCAATGTGGGCAACTTGTTGCAAGAGCCACTTGCACAGATGTGGAAAAATCCAAAATAGCTTGTGGCATCATGCAAAGACTCAGACAATAGATTGGATTCATTTAAAAGCACATTACAATAAGTGCATGAAAGCGACAGAAAAACAGCTGTTTATCATATAATGTTATTGAATTTCCTGTTATATTTCATGGCACAGATTGGATTTTAGAGGGGCAGCAGTTTCCAGTCAAAATGAGGACACTGTCTGCAGTCCCGTCGTTGATCAGCTTAATGGGGATTTAATACGTTTTCTTGCAAAACAACTTCTCAAGTCTTGTATCCCCGTAAATCCTGGGGATCCTAAGCTCCTGAACTTCTGCAATGTTTTTAATCACAAGTCTCAGAATTTGGCATATGATCTATTCCATCTGAAAACTAGAAAACTGGAGTAAAGACTCTGCTCTCCTGACTCAGAGGTGTAGTAAGGGTTTGATCTGGAGTTGAAAAGCTCAGTAAATCTTCCCCTATGATTGCCTTTCTCCTCACTGGTCTTTCTCTACAAAGTGATCTGGGGTATATGGATTTTATTTTTGGGAATGAGGAGACAAAGGGCTAGTGAGAGGGAAGAAACACAACACAGAATTGACCTGTAGATCACAATCTAGCACAATTTACAACAGGGCTTGAGTGGGAAAGGCTGGACTGGGCTTGTGTGGACTGGATCAGACTGGGAGGACACTAAGCACTTACCGGGGCAGTTGCGATAGGAAACATTCTGTGTTCTTGCTCCTATTCTGGTTGGGCATGGACCTTGAGAAGCAAAAAGACGGGGCTACAGACATGCATATTTGAAACTGCTTTGAGTGACCTGTTTCATATTTTTGTAAGACAGGCTTTTCCAGGACTCAGAGTCCTTGAGCAGAATTGTATAATTCGCCACACTGCAGCGGGCTTGACTGTTTCCGTGGTGCAAGACAGAGGTAAAAGACAATCATTACAGTGGGTGGACATGAGTGCACCTTGAGGCTAATCCTACTATTAAGGTTTGAGGTAACACAGCAAGACATGGGATCGATACTTCACTTAACAATGAGGCGAGTAAGAAAAAACTGAAAAAGCAAAAAAAAAAAAAAAACAAGCAGTTAGGCGTTTGAGCTAAAAGCTGCAGGATTTTGCTCTGCTCGATAAGGGGGACTCAAATACTCATTATTGGTTATTCCATTTTTAATTACAGGTCCTCAAAAGCCTCGGAGAGGTTAACCTTTAAGTTGTGATGAGTTTCACCACCTAATGATGTTCACTATCGCATTCTGATTTGACACTAAGGGGGGCATCTATGACAGGTATTCTGATAATGAGCAATGTAGAAGAAATGTGAAACATTATAAATGCACTAAAAAAAAATGTGCATCACAAATAGTTTGGGCTTGATTTTCCCTTTTCAGTTGATTCAAAGCTCAAAGACACCCAAAGACATCAGCATACCAAACACCTATTTGAATCTTTACTTCACTCCTACTCAAATTATTTCAGTTCCACCTGATTAGTGATTCCAGCAAGTCATCTACATCTTTGTCATTAATCAGTTTGTAAAGGTTACATGGGGGGAATTTCCTTCACGAATTGCAAATGAAGATGGCAACTTAAAGGACAGGGGGCAATCTAAGGATTGTTTGGGAGCTGAATGGCGATTAATATTTTAGCATCTGAGCAGCAGACGAAATGTTAACACTATCGCTTTAGATGAAATATTACCTTGTTGACTTACAATTGGCGCCATTCTGCTCTGTTACATAATGGAACATCTGTTTACAAATTACAACACCTGTTCTACGGATGTATATTAAGCCATCAAGGTGAGCCATGCTTTGCCCCTGATAGACTTCTCCATACATGACTTGAGTAATGAAACACTCGCTTGCCAATGCGGAGAGTCAGCATGACTCCCTCTACCCCCTTCCTCTATTCTGCTACATCATAACCTGGCTCGTCGATCTGCTGGAAACACGGCGAGCGCATCAATAATAAAGGCAGTACAGAAGAGGACCAAAGGGTTTTACAGGTCATATTTCATGAAAAGTTCATGGTGTGACACAGATGGAGGAAGAGACAGCGGAAAGAGGTGCTGGAAGGTGTTGCATGAGAAGAGAACAGACTGTCTGGACAAGGTAGGAGGAGGAAGAAATGGGACTGAATATGGTGTGACAGCGAAGAAAGAGGGGGCAGAGAGGAAGAGAGAAACTGAGGATGGGAGTGGGTGCGGGCAACAGAAGGAAGAAGAGGGTTTCAATACATGACACAAGGGTCATACTTACTATAGGGCACACACTCATACTGGACCTCCAGGTACTTGTAGGTCCCCGGACAGGGGTCAGGGAAGACATCTGAGCCTGTGATCACGATACACTGGGTCCGATTGTTGCATCTGGGGAACAAAAAGATGCAAAAACATTAGTGCATGCACTAAGAAATATTTGAGCACGTTATAAAGTCAAACGAATGAAGTGCTAAATTGTTGCACAGACTTTCACGGTGAAGCTCAACCACAGTTCAGGGTCGCTCTTATTCAAGAGAACAATTTAGAGAAAAGAACAGTGAACTGTGCGAATGATGAATAGATTAGCTTGTTAGCAATGAAGTCAGGGCCGACTCCTCAGCTTTTCAATCTGCTCATGTAAGTTTGTCAGAGGCTCTTTGTGCACTTAACTGTATGTATTTTCAAGAGTGTGGAGGATGTGTTGGTGAGTGCAGTATAATCACTGAATCCATAAAGACTTTACAAGATTTTTATAATATAATAACAACCCTCTAGTCAATAAAAGGTCGAAAGACTTCAACATTTTTCAGGTCTTCATGCTGATACAAACACAGTATGGTGCTTTTCATCTTTATGTTCTTTGTTAAATCTGTGATTGTCCTGATGAAATTTAAATCTCTATCTAATACAGCATGATGTGGGTGTGTGTGTGTGTGTGTGTGTGTGTGTGTGTGGCATTGTTATACATATAACACTCCCTCATTACAATAAAAGTCCTAGTCATGATTGAAGTGAATTTAGGATTCTTTTAAATCTTCTACAGCACAAATGAATGCAACAAGTATTGATGAAGACAGATAAAGCCTTATTCACTCAGGACTACAATAGCATGGGGACCTCATGTGACTGTGGAATTGACCCCCCACCTCCATGTCTGGTGGGGCGCATTTGGTGAAATAAATATAAGGTCTGTGTTCACTGAAATGTCCCGACTTATTGATTCGAGCCAGCTCCTTCCCTGAATGGGTTTCCATGCTGAGTAGCTAGATTAGACTCTTGAATTTGCACCCAAAATGCCATCAAAGGTCTCATTAATGATTTCTAGTGGCAGCCTCTATAAATCTTAACCTGGAAGAGTGCAAAATACCAAAATACTAATCAGGGCATCTTACCTTAAAAAAAAACAAAATGACTTTGGAAGAGCTCTGTTTTTGGAAAGAGGACATAATATGATATTTTTCATAAAAAACAAAATCCTATTTCAGCTCTTATATACAGTATACATGTTTAGTTTTTCATTTCAGCAGCAATTCTGAGCTGTGTTTAATGCCAATTTTGGTCTCTGCCTTTAACATCTGGAGGGTCGACTTTCTAATTGTATCTGCGGCATTCTCATAAGCCTGGGGAATTGCAGGTGACCACCCTTTTGCTGTACTGAAATCATGATAATGACATCAATACCCCAAGCAAGCCATCTCTGCTACCGAGGGGACTGAAATTTCTATTGGCAATGTGAGGAGCCAGATCAATAACTCTGTTCTGCTGATTTAGCAGGGACCAGAGATAATATTTGTTTCTTCTTATCCCAGACCAGTGCACCCATTTGCAGCAGATCATTGGAAAATGTATTACTGGTTGCGCTGTATTGTGCTTTGGGTTTTGCCTTTGTTTTGTGCAGCTGAAGTAATCACAGCTCTGAGTCTAAATGTTATTAATATAATATTAGGTAGCGCAGTGGAACGGTGGACGGCTGCTTCCTGTCGAAGTGTGTAGCATTGTACAAACAGGGAGCTGAAAATTGACACTGTTTAGGTTTCAGATTGAAAACAACCACATTTTAGAAGCAAAGCGTGGATGCAGCTGTGTGTTTCAGTTTACAACTCGGGACTGGCTCCTGAACAAATGACTCCTGTATTCAAATGAAAAATACATGAAATCAAACAAACGGCAGGAGAAAAAAGTGAGCCATTTTGTGTTTTTTTCCCATGCACAAAGGCAATTCATCTCCCTCTTCTTCCTGTTCCATTTCTCCCAACTAGCATGCATGCAATAAAAAAGCTTCACACATTTTTTTTTCAATTAGAAAGCACTTTTAGAATTTTACTATAATAAAAAAAGGCTCTTTTTTTTTTTTTTACCCCTTTCTTATGCTTTTGGCAATGTTAAAGCAGTGTGTTATATCACAGAGCCCTAATGACACATATTTGTGTCTTCATCTCTGTGTGTGCATCTGTGTTTAGCGTAGGTCTCAAGGGGAATTTCGCTTCATTATTGACCTTCACGTGCGATAACACATGAGAATTTCAGCATATTGTATTTGTTTTTATCGAAATGAATTACTGTTGTTGAATTAAAACATGCACCTCATGCTGGGCCCGTAATACACCGCCTGCTTTGGTGGGTAATATATCATGGCTCTGCAGTGCTTTCCATATATTATATGGTCACTTTGATGATTCTGCCCCCTCTGCTCATGCATAAGCATATCATGCAGGAGCAATATAAATTACAGTTCTTTATCTAATAGATTCCATTGAGACAGGGGAAATGAATGTCTGGTTTATATTAGGCATATGAAACAGAATGATATCAAAAATAAAATTCATGACACTAATGAGACACAGACCTGCCAGCGTGTCCCAGGCGAATGTATTAAACAACAGGACGTAAGCACCGGAAAAGGAAAAAAAACTCATATTTCTTTGGATACAATGTTGACATAAGTGTTGATAGCTCTCTCTGATATATTGCTCTAATTTCAGAGCTGTGGAGCTGTTCTTCAGCGACATGATGTACCAGAGTGACTACTCTGATTCTTTCTCATCTGCAAAACCTTCTGCATCTCCTGAGACCAATTCAAAAAGCCCTAATGACTTCTTCAATGGAAAGTCCTAGCTGTCAATTTGAAGGCGAGCATGTAATTGAAATTCCCCCCATAAAAAAAAAGTTCAGCATTCAGGCCTGCAAGGCCACAGGTCTCAAAGTGCACACTAATTAAATACATGTAAAATATGATATCTCTGACTATCTTTTGATAGTCTGAGGCTATATAGTAATTAATCATGTACATAATGAATATTAAGTCAAAGGAAGATTTTCTCCACTTTTCTCCAGAGTGATTCTAGTTCTATAAATACCTGGACTGCTCAACAGGATTTTACTGAAAAAAAAGAGGACTCATTCATTTTATCCAATTATTCTAGATAAATTATAATGAGCCAGCTGGAAAATTAGCTTAATATAAATACTTTGGTGGCAAAATTGCTCTATTTTTGGAGGTTAATTTGTTTGCAAATCTATGAATGTTAAAATTAATTATATATACTGTAACATAAAATACTATGGTTGTTAATTTATTTAGTTTGAAGCCTTTCCAGTGAAAATTTAAGAATGAAGAACTTCATTCCTGTTAATAACTTGACAGTCTTACACGAGAGTGATCTGAATCTACCTCTCGGCTATTTAAAAATATTCCAAATGAAACAAAGGTCAGGATGCTCCTTAAGTATACTCAAGTAAAAAAAAAAGAAAAGAAAAAAGGACAGGATGAAGAAACTTTCAGCTCTGATTGCCTCCATTTCCCCCGACCAGGCCGTTAATCATGCTGCAATATTCCAAATGTAATCCCATCACATCTCTGACCTTTTGGGAGAGGCACACATCAGTACAATTAGAGTGTCAGAAAATGCTGCTTGGATTTGATGCAAATCTCCTTTAAAAATGAGCACTCCCCGCTGACAGCGGCGAGGGCGAGCGATAAGATGCCAACAAGGTGTAACTGATAGCACACTTGATACCATGTATCCACATGCAATTTAACCTTTTCCACTGCTGTCATAAAGCATGTCACAGGAATAATGGGACATGAAGATAATGTCTTAAATAATGAAATACCATAAGTAGGAAACACATGAAGTTAAATGTTTTACTCACATCAGATCATAAAAGATGGATCTGTGTTTCCACAATACACTTCTCAACATGTGAACAGTTAAGTACATAATAAATAATTATGCGTGTATATCCTTGGGTTGGGTTATGGGTTTGGATTATATGCTTTCATTTAAATATATTAAAAAAAAATGTAAAAGTCATCGAGCTCTTGATTATGAAGCCCTCACGGCTGTGTTTTTTTTTATCCACCCCACAAAACTCCATATTCTTCACAAAGCCAGAGCAGCTACTTGGAATTGACAATATAAAAAATAACCTCGGCAGCCAAAACAACCCCCATGTTACTGGAGGAGAAAAGACGACATGAGTGAGGGGAGCACATTACTGAAAAAGGCACAATCTACTTCCTGGTGCTCCCAGTTTGAATTTCAATCAAATTAGCGTCTCTTAAACTCAAAGTGACCCGTCTAGCTCCATTTCTTCTGAAATGCTGATGAGGTTCATGGCACAATTATCAAGGCAGACATCTCTCTCAAGTGGCAAGCCTGTTGATAGCAGACAGGCCATTGAAAAATTAAATCATTTCCAGGGCCACGAAATGGCAGCGAAAGAAACAATCTGTTGCAAGCAGGACGCAACGCACACACACAAAGACACACATGCCAGACGTATAATCAGTTCCAATATTGGTATATTTAGAAGATTTTTCAAAGGGGTGGCCCAATAATGTTTCAGGAAATAGGTTGTTAGAAATTAACCATTAGCATCCTGCTTTCAACTTATCCAGTTAAAACTTGTAATTACTGTCACATGCTCGTGTTTATGCTATATTTACTGGAGCTGCCAATGGCTCTCAACAGGGGGAGACCAGGGGGAAGGCTGTCTGACTCACATCCCTCCGTCTCAGTTATTGTTTTTTTTTTTTTTTTAAACCAGTAAATGCAACCTTTATAAGACGACACAATGCAACTCTAGCAGACCAAAGCATAATACCAAAGCTACACTGGAATGGCTTCTAAATGACAATTTAATGTCCAGGAGTCTGGGTCAAAAGTCTGAGGCTCTCCTTTAAAACCACTGTTGAGTCCTGGTCCCTTTGCAACCTGACAAAGCTTAAGTGGATATGTCGAGAGAGATATGTGGAAAGAATAGCAAAGTACAGATGAGTAAAGCTGACAGAGATTTAGCCAATATAATTGCTGTAATTGCTGCCAAAGGAGCAGCCATGAAAAACTGACATGGTAGGAGTGAATACTGACTCGAAAACGTAATTT